GCCGAGCCGAGCCGCGCGCGCCGACCTTCGCCCGCTGTCCGCGTCCCTCCAGGGCGTGGACTCCCTGGTCCTGGAGAGCGTGATGTTCGCCATCCTCGCCGAGCGCTCGCTGGGGCCGCAGCTGCACGGAGTCTTCCCGGAGGGCCGGCTGGAACAGTACATCCCAGTACGGCCCCGCCCGCCCCCAGGGCGCCCGTCCCCGGGCCCTGACCTCCCCGCTCGCCCCACCGCCTCCCGCCCTGGCCCCTCACCGCGCTGATAGGTTCCTGGGTGCAGAGCCGGCCGCTGAGGACGCAGGAGCTGCGGGAGCCGCAGCTGTCGGCTGCCATCGCCACCAAGATGGCCCAGTTCCACGGCATGGAGATGCCCTTCGCCAAGGAGCCCCGCTGGCTGTTCGGGACCATGGAGCGGTGAGTGGGGTTGGGGTGCACATGGGCGGCGCCTGCGCTGGAGGCCCTGGCGGGAGCACCTGTGCCAGGCCAGACCCCCCCTGGCCTAGCGGAGGGGCCCAGTGTCTGCTGTGGTCACCCCGACAGGTGTCCGGGTACTGGAGACACTCAGGCTGGCAGGGTGGGGGCGAAGGCACGGGTCGGCAGAGCCTTGCAGGCTTCCTCCTGGCTTCCAGGTACCTGAAGCAGATCCAGGAGCTGCCCCTCACCGGCCTCCCCCAGCAGAACCTGCTGGAGACATACAGCCTGAAGGACGAGATGGGCAGCCTGCGGTGAGGGCAGCCCACGAGCGGGGACGCAGTGGCGCGACTCCTGTGGGCCCTCCAGGGTCTTCTGGGCGCTGGGGGCAGGCCCAGGGCGGCTCTCTGGCCCCCTGCAGCCGCTGACCTGCAGCCCTGCGCCCCGCCCCGCAGGGAGCTGCTCAGCTCCACCCCATCGCCCGTGGTCTTCTGCCATAATGACATCCAGGAAGGTAGGAGGCTGCACGGGAACCCCGCCCCAGGGGCACACCCCCTGAGTGACCCGAGCCCCGCCCCGCCTCAGGGAACATCCTGTTGCTGGCTGAGCCAACCGGGGCCAGTGCCGACAGCCTCATGCTGGTGGACTTTGAATACAGCAGTTACAACTACAGGTGAGGTGGCTCCCGGTGGCCTGCTCCGGGCCCAGGCGAGGGACTGAGTGTCCACCTGTCCGCAGGGGCTTTGACATCGGGAACCACTTTTGCGAGTGGGTGTACGATTACACGCACGAGGAGTGGCCTCACTACAGAGCCCAGCCCGCCGACTACCCCTCCCGGGGCCAGCAGGTATGCGGCGGGCGGCCCCGCGGGCCCTGGGAGGCGGCAGGAGCCCTGCAGCGCCCTCTCTGTCGGTCTCAGCTCCACTTCATCCGCCATTACCTGGCAGAGGCGAAGAAGGGCGAGACCATGTCCCAAGAGGAGCAGAAGAAGCTGGAAGAGGACTTGCTGGTAGAGGCCAGTCGGTGAGGAAGGGAGGATACAGGCTGCAGAGGCGGGCTGGGGGGGGCCGAGGGGGGCTGGGCGCCGTCCAGGTCCGGAGGCCGGTCGGCATGCTCTCCGCTTCTTGCCCCCCAGGTATGCGCTGGCATCCCATTTCTTTTGGGGCCTCTGGTCCATCCTCCAGGCCTCCATGTCCACCATCGAATTTGGTTATTTGGTAAGTCACCCAGGGACGAGTGGGGAGGGCAGGCCCCCGGGGTGCGGTGGGGTGCTGCTCCCAGTCTCGCCACGTGGCTGGTCTTCTCCAGGAGTACGCCCAGTCTCGCTTCCAGTCCTACTTCCAGCAGAAGAGACAGCTGGCCAGCCGCCACCCCCTCTCCTGACCACCTGGACCCTGACTCCCCTGGGCCTTGGCTCCCTCGCGGAGGGGCGCCGCCGGCCGTGTACATGAGACAATAAACAAACAAGCCTCCCGCAGCCTCTGTCCTGTCTGTTCCGCTCGCCCCGCGCACAGGGCGGCAGAGGGCCCCTCAGCCCAGCCCTGGCCACTTGCGCCGCCCGCGTGGGGCCCCTCCTCCAGGTGGAGCCCTGGCCCACGCTCCGCGACAGATGGCAGGGCTGGAGTGGGGAACTGGGCAGTCCTGGGGTACAGTGGGCCCTGGATGGTGCTGCCCAGCCCCGGCAGCCTTTGGTACTGCCACTATATTTAGCTCCTGTGGGGGCCCGGCCCCCACCCCGGCTCCCCGGCCCTGGGGCAGCCCTGCAAGCCCACTGCCCACCCAGCCCCAGTCGGACGCCGGCCTGAGGGCGGGGCCGGCCCCACAGCGGCTCCTCTCCACCCACATTTGGGAGTGGGTGTCAGGTTCCCAGGGAGGGCGGGCTGGGTGGCCCGGCCTGAAGGACGCGGGGACGCGCGGCCAGAGCGACCGTCCCCACCGCGGCCAGGGGCTACCTGAGCAGTGAGTAGGGGCAGCGGGCAGCCCAGCCCTGGGCCGGCTAGGGGGCTCCCTGCCCTCCGGGCCCCCGAGCCGAAGCCGCGCCCTCAATGCCCGCTGGCCCCAGAAGCTGTCCAGGCCTGGGCCTGCTCCACCATGGGGGGGGGCGGGGAGGCCCAGGGGC